AGCGCTGAGCTCTGCTTTGTGACAACAACAGGGCCTGAGGGAACGGCATGGAGCTGTCAGGGGAGGGAGGCTGGGGGTCAGGGAAAGGGGTTGCACCACAGGGTGGTGGGCATGGAACGGGATGCACAGGGCTGTGGGCACGGCCCTGAATGCCGGTGTTCACAGAGCGTTTGGACACTGCTTCCGGACATTTGGGTGGTGCTGGACGGAGCCAGGAGCTGGACTCCATGATCCTTATGGGTCCCTTCTGTCTAGAGATACTTTGGGATTCTATGAATGACCACGGTCAGTGAGCATCAGTCAGCCAGTAGGGCCCACTGTACATTGGGAGCAGTGGTGCAGAAAGCCCAGCAGTGGCCTGAAAGAGCAGCAGACTCTGGGAGGGAGAAGGGCGCACCTGAAACTTGGTGATGTTTGCACTCCTGATAGGTTCTCCAGCTGACCCAGAAAAAAAACTGCACCTGACAAGCCAGCTTCCCCAGCAGCCTGCCCTAGAGAATGATCCTATTTGCTGTGGTCTGCATTAGAAGGAAGCTGTTGCTTCAAGTAGGAATGGCTTGCTCTAACATCTCAGTTAAAAAAGCCACAGCTTTCCCTCAGACTGAGCCACCCGAGCAGCATATCTCTACAGGATTTCAGTAAGAAAATGTGCAGGACGGAATGACACTTTGGGTTGTCCAGTCACCCTGCAAGCTCCACACCCTTACTTTGGCCCCAAAACAAAGCCGGCATATTTGGAAGGTACCTAGGACTTAAATTATTCTTAACATCACTACTTCTTTTAGAAATCTTGTACCACAGGATAGCATCATCTGGCTTTGATGCTAAGGTAGCAGGAAAAAAATATATATATATGTATATACTTATACTTAATGGCAAGCATGAGAACAGTGCATAGGCAAGGCACCACAGGTAAGGAAAACAGCAACAGGTTTTGCAGTGGGCTTCAGCACAACACCCACTTTGTAACCTGGGATAGAAAACCCAAGCAGCAAACACATTGCCTTACACTAACATACCAGCCAGCCCTGCACCAGTTCCTCACACCCAGCAACAAACATGCACTGTGCAGCCACCTTCTGCCATGAATCTCAGTATCCGAACTCCGTGACTTGAGATTGATGCTCTTTGTTCCACTCTACGTAGCAGCGCCAGAACAGATGCTTAACTTCCAAGGGCTTGTTACGAGAATCATGATTCCCTCTGAGATCAACAGAAAACAGTCTGCTGGCACCTTCACCAACTTCACCAACAAGGCTTCATTTTATTTGAATAGCAACAGAGCCACCATTCTTTTTCACTAAGCCCTTTTTTGAACACCCAAACATTAAAAGTAATTTCCACAACTTACACATCCAGATTTAAAAAGTCACTTCATACTCCATCTCTCAAATCCCCCCAAAAGGTACCTCATATTTTCCTCTCTCCTAATATTTAATCAACTTCATTTCATTACAGACAAGCCTTAAGAGCTCATAATGCTGCAATTGATTACAAACAAGATAGCACCCACATCTGACAAGGCTGACCTAATTGTCTGTCTCGTCTACATTTCTGCAGGGCAAATTTACTGACATTTTGTGCAAATTCAAAGCTGGCTGAGCCCAATGACCTTTAATACCTCTGTAATTAGTCTTCTCCGCCTTCACAACCAGAAAAGCAGTCGCCCCTTTTGTCCCCCTAAGTCAGCAGTCCAGCTGTAAACTACAAACTTCACAGCCTACTCAGCACCTACAGTCAGTCAAGCATTCGCAAAAACAACAAAACCCACTGTAGAAAGTACACAAACTGTGACCTTTCAAGGTCATGGAATCAGGTCTGGAAAGGCCCTTTTCAGACAAGCACACCAGTTTCCAAAAGAAGAAACAGAACTGGTGAGGCAAGTCGGTGGACAAAGTCAATAAACAGGATTTTTATACTGCTTTCCTAAAAGTAAAAATAATAAAAAAATAATTTAAAAAAAAAAAAAACAAAAACAATGTACTGAGAGGAAGTTCCAAAAGTAATGCCTTCTATTTATCTACAGCAGATATACAATAACACTCTTTGATAGAGCAAATTATCCACTGCAAAACACCATTTTTCAACACAGCACCTTTAGCTAAGTATACCATGCTCATAAACATCTGCACCAGTGCAGGTGACCCACTATAGCTGGCCCCACTGCTGACATGCACCACCCAGCGCCTCACTGTGCTCATACCCACTGGCTGGGCTCCAGAAATACTCAGCAAGTGTCAGTGAATGTCAGCAGGTGCCACTTATTCCCTTATGGGGGAAATATGGAGACCCCCCCCTTTGCTTCATATGCGCTTGGAGGCACTCAAGGCCAGGTTGGACGGGCCTTGGGCAGCCTGATCTGGAGGGTGGCAGCCCTGACCACAGCAGGGTGTTGGAACTGGGTGGGCTTTGAGGTCCCTTCCAACCTAAGCCATTCCGTGCTTCTATGAACAACGAGGGAACATGCACAGGCAGCTGGCAACTTACAGGAAATTCTTCAGCCCATTGCCATTCCTCAAGTTTCTCTGCCCACTGGCCAAATTTTCACTGCAAGCACTGACAACAAGACGGTCCAGTGGCACACCTTCTCCATTTTCCTGCTCCAGCAGATTCCAGCCCGGGAGTCAGTGCATTTTACAGAACTGCAGTGGTTGGAAGGGAAGACCTCTAACGCACTGAGTCCAATCCCCTGCTAAAGCAGGTCCCTACCAGCACAGGAGAGTGCCCAGGTGGCTCTTGAGTATCATCAGAGAAGGTGACTCCACAAGTACCCTGGGAGGCTTGTTCCAGAGGGTAAACTCCTAGAAATGTCAGCCCAAGAGGAAGCCAATGACTTAATGCAAAGATATTTCAAGTCAAAGAGTGCAGCTCCATCACAGAACATATATAACCTACAAAGCTGCCAGCACTGGCAGCCTCATGTTCAGCAGCATCAAGAATTTTTGCGGTTTCTTTTTTTAATTAAATGCTAGTTCTCATCATATATGAATTTCTTCAGCAAAGGCTTGCATTTTTTCTTATGTTAATCTCAATTCAGCAGGGAAAATTTACTGAACGGTTCTATACATTTACAATCCTCTGTCTGAATTTTAATGCAGAAATACATCTCCTAGAGCAAGTCTTTTCTTACTTAAACCATCACACTTAAATGGCAGATCCCCTTCGGTCGTTCATCATCTATGATTTTCTTTTACAAAATTTGGTTACAAATAGCCAGTTTTAGGACACTGATTACACAACAACTGATGAACTGTGTCAGCTTCAGAAATAAAGGGATTTCCGATCTGACATGCAGCCACTGAGCAGAAGTCAGGCTCTGGTGCTACACTTTCAGTCTCCCACCAATTCCTGACATCTTGAAGTTGTATGTTGCTGTGTGTGTCAAACATCCTGCCCTCATTAATAAACTCTAATTTATTTGGCTTACTCAAGAAAACAGTGTAGAAGAAGAACACCATTTCAGTGGCGTTCATAAGGCTGTGCAAAAAACAAGCAGAAAAATGCAGTTTCCTGACCCCTTCCTATGAAGATGGCAGCTGCCCTGGTGCCAACAACTCGTTCCATAGCTAAATCTGAGCTTCAGTCTGCAGGGAAAAGAAGAACTCAGTGTTTGGGTGAACACAGCATCATTTAAACTTTCAGAAATAGCAGTCAGAACTTGACATTCACATATAAACCCTAACCCTTGCTGTTTCCAAAGGAAAGGAAGGGGCTGCACCATCCCTGTGGCAGCACTCAGCAGGAAGGCCATGGGGATCCCGGCCCATAGCCATATCCTTGCAGGTGGGACTCAGTGACTGGAACATGCACTCACACACACATACACAGTGGATTCAATGCTTTCCTTCCGGCTTCTGGATGGCTCTGCCCTGCTCATGAGCCGGACACCACATTCATCAGTACAGAGAGGAGGGAAGAATGAAATAATTATTAAGAAAGAAGAAGAAAAAAAAAAAAGGAGAAAGATCTTAATTCAGAAGAATGTTTGGGACTTCGCTTACATTTGGGGCTTTGGTTAACCGGGCTGCTGCAAAGCGTTATTGTGGTTGGCCCAGCTCCAGGATCAACTGCTCTCTGTGTGCACAGACTGGAAGCAGCACCCGGAGCGAGAGTCAAAGTATCCTGGGGACAGCAACAGCCAGGGCCGAGCCACTCTGCTCCTCTGCAGTGATCGCTTCCCACTCTGCAGAGACAGAACGCTGCTCTGCAGGAATGCCCACGAGGAGGGCTGGAACTGAGGAGAGTTAGGCAGCGCGTTTCATTTATTTCATGCCAGCAACCGAGCAAATCTGGCAACTTGGGGGGGGAAAAAAAAAAAAAAAAAAAAAAAAGCTCCACAGAGTTTGCGTATGCTTAAAAACAAAACAAAAAAAAAAAAAAAAGTAGTGGCAAAAAAGATAAGGCCTACTACAGGCAAGCTGCCGCTCTGGAAATAAACTTCTGTCTGCTCACAACTCTCCTGCCGGCTCCTCAGCCCGCACACGAGGCCACGGCGGAGGCGTCGCGGAGCCCCGGCAGCGGGCTGTGACCCGCAGAGGGCAGCGGCCCCCAGGCGGCCGCTACCGGCCCCGCCGCTCGGGGAAGCGGGGCAGCGGCTCCTGTCCAGAAAGCGCTCGCGCTGCCCCCCGCCCCGAGGGGGGCTCCGCCGGCGGTGCCGCCTCTCCGCCTCTCTCGGCCGGGAAGCCAGCCGCCGGGAGCGGAGGAGCGGCCAGAGGGAAGCGCAGGCTGCCCCTGGGGCTCCGGCTCCCGGCTCAGGAGCCGACAAAAGGCACCGCGCCGCCCGCCCCCGCTGCCCCGAGGCCGGCCGCAGTCCGGACAGCGGGCGGCTGCCTCTCTGCGCGGTGCCGCCCCGCGGCTTACGGCGCTAATGGGATTACGCCGGGCCGAGCGGAGCCCGCCCGCTGTCACCGCCCGGGGAGGGTCGCTCCCCCTCGCCCGCCCGCTCCGCAGCCCCCACCGTGCTGCCCGCCCGGCCCCATTGTTCGCAGTGCCGTCCTTACCGTGCGCGGGGTTGGGGCTGCCGGCTCTCCTCGCTGCGGCTGTTGCAGGGGCAGTGGCGCTCGGCCGCCGGAGGTCCGAGCCATTAAAAGCTCCGCGGGGAGGAGGAGGAGGAGAAGGCGGCGGCGGCGGCGGGTGAAGGAGGGCGGCGGGGGGCTGGAGGGAGCAGGGTCGCCATGTCCGGCTTCCAGCGCGGGGAGTCCACCCGGCCGGGCGCGGAGGAGCGAGGCGGCTGCCGCCCGCGGACCGGGGAAGCGGGAACTGGACGCCGGGCAGCACGACCGCGCCTCCCCTAACCCTGCCCCCTCCCGGAGGGGGAGCCGCGGGCGGGAGGAGGCGGCCAACAGCCCCCTCCAGCGTTCACAGGAGGCGGATCGCAGTGGTCGCCCGTCTCGGCGATACCCACGGCGAAGGGAGCCGAGCGCCGCCGCCCGGATACCTGGCGGCCGTTGGGGGCCGGAACAGCGCCCACCGCCGCGCGGGGCACCTCCCGCCTAGGGGCGACTGTGAGAGGCGGGCAGTCAGGGCAGGGTCCGCCCTCCCGCCCCGTGGAAGCAGGGCATGTGGCTGCCCCTTTCTGTGTCTAGGGGGACCGTGCGGATACGGGGACACGGTGCCCAGTAGGGAGGTTGCTCCTATTGCTCTGAGAGCCGGCTCTCACTTCGTTCATCGCTAGGTGACGGCAATTCCCCGGACAGAATTCAACAAGTGGCAGCAGCAGGCTGGGTGTCAAGGGCTGCCTCTCAAAAACGTTCATGCATTCATCTCCTCAGAGAAGTGCTAGAGCTATGGCTAAAAGGCTCCCGAAACACTGAGGAGAATCCCTTAAAACACCACTATCCATTTGTTTAACTTAAACCTTAGGAAGTGCTTCTTTGGGGGGCGGGGAGAGGAGAGGTGATCTTTCCTGTCTTTTACTCAGCATTATTTTCTCAAAGAAGTCTGGAGAGATAGAGCACAGCAATGAGCAGCACAGGGGCCTTACAGGTTCTCTCAGTGACTTGGGAGGGAGCAGTGAACTGAGTATGTATTCATAAAGTAACCCTTCCTCAGCATTCAGCATCTAAGCATAGAATCGTATAATCACAGAATGGCCAGGGTTGGAAGGGACCTCAAGGATCATGAATCTCCAACCCCCCTGCCACTTGCAGGGCCACCAACCTCCCCATTTAATACTAGACCAGGCTGCCCAGGGCCCCATCCAACCTGGCCTTGAACACCTCCAGGGACAGGGCATGCACAACCTCTCTGGGCAGCCTGTTCCAGCACCTCACCACTCTCTCTGTGAAGAACTCAAAAAGAAAATGCATCATTTGAGGAACCCAATACGAGAACGCCACAAACAGTTTCTCCTTTAAGCTGTGCCTTTGCTTTATGCTCCAAAGACAAATTCTTCTACTGTCAACAGCAGTGCTTCTGTGCACAAACACCCCACTACAGACACGTTGGTGTATCTGCAGGGATGTACCAAAAAACCTTCTGGGAGCCATTTCTTTGGTCAGCTCCCAGACCTTAACTGAAGCACACAGGGAACTGACTAAAAAGCTGGAAATTGTCCTTAGTTGTCAACACTTGATAAGCGAGTAACTGCTGTTATTCTCCCCAGACCTTTTCCACACAAAATAGTGATCTGTCTGTACAAAACCAAGATGAAAAGCCACATGGTCATCCAAACAACATGAACGGGGATTAAGAACACAGATGCAAGCTTTGCTTTTTCCAAACACTTATTTTGTCAGGAGCTTTAACTACTAATGAAGGTGCAGTTAGGGTAAGAATGTTAATGCAAGGGCCAACAACAGCATTAAGAATTTGCTGGTGCTTTTTATGTAGGCTTCCCAATCACCAATGTCTCATTCACACCTAACGCAGAGTTGTTGTAATCAAATTAATGAGGTTATCTTCAATGCCTACCAAGTCTCAGTGACCTCGAAACTTTTCTCAGTATTAAACAGAAGTAATGCGCTGCCTTGCAGCTACTGGTCATTCATTACTGAGCTCCAAAAAAAGCAACAGCAACAGCTTTTACTGAACGGTAATCTTACTGAGGCATCAAAAATGGTCACAGGTTGGCCACTTCTCCAGGAGACACATCAGGTTTATTTAGTTAACTCTCAATTCTTGAGTCTTCCGAAAGAACAGAGCACAATTAATGGCCGACATCTAAACATCTAAAGATATCAAGAATCTACTCTCTCTCACTGTTCACACAGTCAGTCATAAAGGCATCTTCACCCATCTGTTCCCATTGATGCTCTCTACAATTCTAAGCAGCACTTTTTCTCTAAAAGGGATTTCTCTTTTGTAAATGACACATGGCCAGCAGCTTGTATACTTCCAAAAAGCATTAATTGCTGCTGTTAGATTCCTGTACTACATAGGGTCACATTGTTTCCACGTTGAATGAGGCATGGAATTTGTTGAGACATCAAATAAATAGGATCATTTGAGAGAGACAGCATGTGTTCTTTTTGAAAAGTGGCTGAATTTAGAAAAATGATTCTAATTAGGTCAATTTTTTGAAAGAAAAAATAAGCTCTGTCTGCATGCACTGACACTAAAGAACTGGAACTGGATTTCAGATTAACCAAAACCAAATGGGCACCATTGTTCAAGTCTGCTTTACCCATGGAGCGGAAAAGAAGACATTGCTTGAAAGGGTTCTGTCATCTTGAGAACCTCTGTGCCTCCTGCCTGTTTCCCTGTTAAGGAAGAAATAGCAACAGCTGTGCTGGAATGCAGGTAACTGCTCTTGGGAAAGCTTTCACATCTTACAGTTATCTTTCACTGAAATTTTATCCTATTTGCTGCAAGGTTCTAGAAGGCATCTGTGTACAAAGTCAATCATGGCAGAATACTTTCCATAATCTCACTTTTTTTCCTGACATGTGATAACTTGTTTGCCTTTCTGTGTACTTTGTCAGACCAAATTACTGGACTTAACGCCTGAGTATGTGGATTAAGTTCTTTGGTATGGTTTACACTAATGTCAGAGAATGGTCTTTCTGGCCTTAATATCTGTTTTGTAAACTACTTCAAAAATATGTTGAGTTCAAATATTTATCTCTGTTTTATTAGGCAGAGAAGCTGAGATGTTGCCCTAATAGAAATGTATTTCGTCTACTTCTTTTGTCCATGTAGTTCTTTTTTTCATAAACATTCCACAGATGTTTTCCCTGGAGCTTGAAATCTTGTTTCAAAGACCCTTTCAACAAATACTTTTGCTCTAGATTTATCAGTATGTTCTGGTCTAAGTGTGGTTTGTGGCTCAATCTTGTAAACCTAAGGCACTGATCGGTATGTTTTAGGCCTTCTTTCATATGCCTTAATGTTAGCTCTCATAACATTGGCATGTATCTGTGTCAGTGAGTTGTGATACCTCACATGTCTTTGCTAATTTAGTTGAAGAGCACGGCAGAATTCTCCATGCAAATCCTTCAGTATTATTTCACCATTATCTTTATTAAGTTTTCCCCCACCTCATTATTTTTTGTTTAGGATATATTTGTGTTACAGTCTTCAGTTAAGATGATCAAACCACTCGATTTTCTGGTAGGGCTACTAATGTTGGACTGACACATCTTCTTGCTTCTGCATCAGAATTTAACACCTAACTACAGCTAGAAGCAGTGATAATTAACAACTATATAGTCCTAGCAGTAGAACGTATCTTAACTTTAGGGGAAAAACAAAGGGAATTGAAAACTAACCCACACTAAAAGACCTGTTGCCAAATAGTAAAGGAGTCCATTACCATCCTCAAACGTTAGGAATTTCGTTAGGTGAAATACTCAACCATTAAATAGAAGTGACTGAAGTACTAACAGCCCACTACGACCACATTTTGTTTACTTCCTGCTCCTATAGGACTGTGAATTAAAAGAGAGCTTTTCAAGGCTAAATGCAAGTTTCCCAAGACCTCAAGAACTTATATAAGAGAGCCTTTGCATATCAAGCTAGCAGAACAAGCCCCACTTCCTAACTTCATTATTGCTGTACAACATCACCTTTGTTACACATCATCATGTTTACCTTGTGTTGTCCAATGCATTTGTGTTTCAGGATGAACACGTTTGTTACATTAGCTGCTTCTATGCACTAAGGTGATCATCAGTGAGTCAATAGATGAATCATCCCTGAAGCTTCCGAGCTAACAAGTTCACTGGAAATTAATGAACAACTTCTGCTTACTTCGTGCTTGCTTTTTCATTTCTGTGCGTACAAGAGGAAAAGAAAGGCTTATTTTTTCAGTAACACTGGAAATTCTGAAACATTTGTTAACAGACAAAGATGTCAAAGTACTACGATGGAAATAAAAACATTAAGAAAATAATCTATTATATTTGTCTGTAAAATGATATTTTTCAAGACACATGTATCAGACCATTTAAGAAAATATAAGCCAAGAAAATGCAAATTGAAAAAAACTAATTGAAGATACTTTTGCTATTTGTATTCAGGTTTCCTCTCCTAAAATCCATTTTCACCCTTTCTCCCAAAAGAAGGAAAAGAGAACACTTCCAGGACAAAATATGTATCCCTCCCCTGCAATGATTCCCATCAGAAGCAACATATACCTCTTCTGTCATGGTAAGGAGAGAGAGAACGGAAAGAGAAAACATTTGCAGATGGGAAATGATTTCGTGTGTTAAATAAAAATACTGCTAACAAGGAGCTGGCCCCTTCACCCAGTGCTTTGAGCCCACACTGCAAGGTGCTGTGCAGAAGCGATTCTGCTTCTGGACGTGGCTTTTAGAAACCAAACAACCTCATCCATCTTTCAGTTCTTTTTTTGAGAAGAAAACCGAATCTATCTGAAAACAGAATGTCTGTTAATAATTCAGAGTTTGAGGTAGAACTCCCTGAATCATGGCTCATTTCCTTCCAGAGCTTTTGTCATTTTGGACAGAGCAAGCTTGGTAAAAGGTTTGTATGTGGGAAGGTGGTGGTTTCCAGAAAGACTTGTGCAACTAAATTCATTAAATGATTCTGAGACCTTTTAGCACTGTGACGAAGAAGAACCATCTCGGTATCTGGGCTGATATAAGCAAACAAAGCTCTAAAATAGAGAAAACAATGCTGTTTCTGCAGCCCCTCAGAATTTATGCCATGAGCAATCGCAGCTGAAGAGTACTCATATATATAAAAACTGGAAGAACACAGAACAATAAACATGGCTCGTAGCATTATTAAAGGTTCCCATGACAGTAATAACCCTCTTGCTCTCCACTTCCCCCTCCATCTCTCTGCCAGTATTTTTACTGTGACTTT